CTGATAGTGATCCTCTGATGGATCTGGACAAAGTCCATTGAAAACCTCCTGGGAAGGATTTACCATTCTAGATGCCGTTAAGAGCATCTGTGATTCACGGGGAGAGGTCAAAATATTAACATTAACAAGAGCTTGGAAGAAGTTAATTCCAACCTTCATAGGTGACTTTGAGGGACTCAAGACTTCAGTGGAGGAAGTAACTGCAAAGGTGGTAGAAATAGCAAGAGAACTAGAATTAGAAGTGGAACCTGAAGGTGTGACTGAATTGCTGCGATCTCAGGGTAAAACTTAGCAGATCAGGAGCTGCTTCTTACGGATGAGCAAAGAAAGCGGTTTCTTGAAATGGAATCTACACCTGGTGAAGATTGTTCAAATGACAACAAAGCATTCAGAATGCTACAAACTTAGTTGATAAAGCAGCAGCAGGTTTTGAGGGGGCTGACTCCAATTTTGAAAGAAATTCTACTATGGGTAATGCTATCAAACAGCGTTGAAGCTACAGAGATATCATTCATGAAAGGAAGGGTCAATCAATGCGTGAAGTCATTGTTGGCTTATTTCAAGAAATTGCCACAACCACCCCAACCTTCAGCAACTACCCGATCAGTCAGCAGCCATCAACATCAAGGCAAGACCCTCCACCAGCAAGATTACAACTCACTGAAGGGTCAGATGATGGTTAGCATTTTTTAGCAATAAGGTATTTTTTAATTAAGATGTGTGCATTGTCTTTTTCAGACACAATGCTATTTCATACTTAATAGACTACAGTATAGTGTAAACATAACTTCTATATGCATTGGGAAACCAGAAACTTTGTGTGACTCACCTTATTGCAACATTCACTTTGTTGGAATGTCCTGGAACTGAACCCACACTCTCTCTGAGGGATGCCTGTATTTATACTACTGCTATTAATAATAATTGGTAGAAATATCATTTATAAGGAGTTGTCAGATGGGGATGTTAGTGCCCAGATCTCCAGATTGACATGTCTGGGTTTTTTTTCCATTTTAGCTAATTTGATTAAGTTTTTCACTTCACTTTCCGTGTAAAGAAAATGTAATCATCAGCAGAAGTGATGATTTTAAAGCATACCCAGGGGAAAATGAAACATCGAGGATTCCCAGAGAGATTTGATAAGTTTACACAAGTCACTCTTTCCACTATCTGGGACCACTTCTATTTCTAGCACCCTTTTACTGTTACTGACAACATTCCCAGTTGAACTGAGTAATTTACCCTCTCACCTGACAGCAGCTGTCATTATAAAAATTGCCAAGCCAATTCAGAGAGCATCTGCACAATGGGGGGACTTAAACTTTTAACAACCTTCAAGAAAGCCTAGACTCATCACCACCTCTTGTCAGCTTGTACATGAGCTCATCTTTTAGTTGCAAAAAGTTGGCAGATTAGAAGATTACATATGACAGATCTGAAATAGCATCCATGACATCCCTCCCTAGTAGTAACTCTGAAAAGAAGCATAATGAAAAATCATATTTAGAAATTTGATAAGTACTTTACAAATTGAAGGAGGTTAGGTTCATGGTTAACTATTTATAATCTACTCCGTTTATCTGTAATAAAGACCTAGCGATCTGTGATTTTAAACCTCACCATTTGTCACAGGTTTTGAAAAATTTTTGTCCACCAAACTATTATTTTTAAGTGATAATTATTTCATTTTTCAAAAATTCAATCCTAAACACAAATATAATTTTCAATGTCCAGAGATCAGCATTATATAAACCAAAGTAAGCACATGGGCTTAAAGTAATTTTAGGCAAAAATAAGGAAATGTAACAATTTGTTTTTCTTGAACCCTCCTATGACAGATGACTCCCATTCTGGTTTCTGTAATTCTAAAATACTCTTTGCGTGCCCCTCTTACTACCTGTGTAGTTAACCTCTAAGAATCCAGGCTATCAACCACTGCATTATTTGAACTTCTCTCTTTCTTTGTCTTTACTATTTGTTCATACTTTGAAGTATGTTGTTCAGACTTTGAACTGCCTCTTCTCTTTTCTTCTTTTATAACCCATTGAGTCTAAGCCATGGAAGTATAAACGATAACCTTCCTCAAATAATTTTTACTAAAAGCCCAAGGTGGTACAGTGTATTTACACTGTGATGTGCTTATTTACACTTGCCTCAGCTGACTTAGGAGGGCTTTTTGCCCCAAGTTTTCTGTTATAAGCCTACAGATGATTTCGGCTACTGGGTGGGAATAGGCAGGCAGTTGTGGCAAGTAGGCTTTAAAATCCCAAACTCATATTTTATAAGTAGTGAGTCATAAATAACTTAGAATTCTATCCAGCTCTCCTTTACCAGTTTAATGAGGTAAAGGAGAGCAGTCATCATATTAAATTATGTCAGTTTTTCTGGGAACAGGTGACAGAACAAATCATTTCAAACCCCCTCATTGTACATTCTAAGAATCCGCTGAGGATGATAACTGCTGACCTTTGTAGCAATGAGTTGTAGCTTGGGGAAAAAAAATATGAGTGAAGATTATATCTTACTGAACATTTTTACCTTAGCTAAAGTGATTCTTACCAACCCCCACCCCTATAAAATAGTCTTCTGACAACAGGGATATATCCCTTAAAGAGAGTTTCCTAGTACGGATAGTCACGTTGCTCATAAACATTTTAGAAAGTTAATTGCTTTGTCCAGAACTGAATTCAGAGGGTTTGTATTTGAAATAAATAAATATATATATACACATATTACAACAATTATATATTTACATATATACATATATAGAGAGATGTATATGTACACATAGATTGAATAATTTTTGTCAGCATATATATATCTATATATAGGTATATATGAAATTAAACTTTTGATCAGAAAGTTACATTATTAAGAGAGCTAAAATGTTATTGTTTCTTTAAAGTTCCTGGGACATTTAAAAGAAACTCAGTATTTTTTATTTCATGTTCCCTTAACGTCAAAATCAGTATTTCCTAAAGGATGTTTCAGAGGCCATCAATTACATGAGATGCTTCATCAGAGAAATAGGGCTTCCATAGGGGAGTGAGTTGGGAAAGGCTGTTTCTTCTAAGAAGTATATGATTCTATCATCATAGAGGAGGTTCTAAGAAATTTGCTTAACGTTGCTTAATCTAGCATCCCCTGCGCCTTTGATTATGAAATTAAACACTTCTTGGAGACACTGAAGTGCTGAAAAAAAGAAGTTTTGAACTTTTCAGAGAAATTTGTGCTGTATTTACGAAGGGTTGCTTCAAATGCTTTTTTTTTAAAGATTGGAACCTGCACTAACATCTGTTGCCAATCTTTTTTTCTTCTTCGTCTTCTTCTTCCCAAAGCCCCCCAGTAGGTAGTTGTATATTCTAGTAGTGAGTGCCTCCGTTGTGCTATGTGGGACGCTGCCTCAACATGACCTGATGAGCGGCGCCATATCCGCTCCCAGGACCTGAACCTGCGAAACCCTAGGTTGCTGAAGCAGAGCACGCGAACTTTAACCACTTAGCCACCAGGCTGTCCCCTTCAAATGCTTTTGATTCCTGACTTTCTCTTGGTTATGACATGTGACGCTTCCGCTTATCTTGGGTGTGGTATTCCTGAAACTAATTTATGTTTGCTGTTAATTAATTATAATGAGTAAACCTCCCTTATTGAACAACTATAATTGTTCCTTGTCTTTAAAGTATAACAACATGACAACATAGGATGTTACAAATGGTATTTCTGTCACTTCTGTCAGTTACATTTGAGCAGAAATTGTGGAGATTCTTCTATGCAAAGGTTTGCAATTTAAACCTTTTCTCTAACCTTACTCACAGACTCAGGAAAAGCAAAGTGGGATCTGGGGATCATTTAGTCTCAATCTTTTATTTTTTTCCTTTTTTACAGAAGGGAGAAACAAAACAAAATGGAGAAAACAACTACTCCAAACTTAGAAACTTTAGTGAAGGTGGAATCTACCATTAAGGAGGCATTCTAGCTTGACAAAGGAGACCATGGGCCTCGGAACGAGACTGAGGTCAAATCTTGTCTCTATCACTTTTTAGCCATTTGATCTTGGGCCAGTGGCTCACCTTTGGTGTTTTTAATTCCCTCATATGTACAATGAGCATAATAAGAGTACCTGCCTCAAAGAATGGTTGTTTGGGGCCAGTGAGCTAAAATATGTAAAACGCTATTATCTGCTACATACAAGTGCTGGGTAAGTATTTGCTGTTAATATTTTTAAG